TCCATCATAACCATCCATCTGAGCTACAAATCTCTACTGTAAAAGCTGTAATTGAAAAATTCTAGTCGTTTAATACTGATTTATTTAATTATTATAAACAATTGTTTATAATAATTACTTATCGTTACAATAAAATTCTATGCATAACATAATGCTTTTGTGATGGAAGTTAAATTTTGATGAAAGCTGATTATTTAATCATTATTAAACACATTCGCTGATAGATCTATGAACAAATTATAACACAATGAATAACATATCAATTATTAGACAAGTAAAGTTGTATTGTTTATGTACACACAATTAGAGTGACAATAAATACACCGACAATATTAGAGAACAATTATTAGATTGTATTGTTTATTTATTTTAACACATAGATATTGGTACAAGAAGGCACCAAATTCATATGCGCCACACAAATCTCATTGGATATGTGTGAGGGTTGTGATACTACCCGGGTGCCCAAACCGAAGCAGGTGGTTTTCTTAGGGAGCCACACCTCGAGCCTTCGACCTGAAGATCTGATCCACAAGGCAGTGGAGCATCGTAAGGAGATGCAGTCCCATGGTAGCCGGTTACCAACAATTGGTTCATTCGCCATTTGTTCCTTCAGGATACTGGATCCCATGTGCACCATTGGTTTGGGATCCGGTAAAAGCGCTGGAAATTCGCCTTTCGTCGTCGCAATTTTGTGGACAACAGTAATGCCACGTGAAGGCAGTGAGTAGGACTTCCCTGGTAGAGGCTATATACGCGTGTCCATGTGAGAGCATTTCGAGAGGGAGAGCGAACTCTCCCCACTCTCGGAGATACCAGGGGATTTGTGGGCTGATTGATTGTATTGAAACTTTTATTAGTTTATAATGAGAAAATATCAGCAAAAGATTGAATAAATGTATATCAATTTTCACCAAGCAAACAATTCATTGTTTATGATTATAACAAGTATGATTGAAAGGAACTTTAACGGAAACTCAATATCAATGATTCTGAATTTAGTCATTTTAAAATATACGAAAAAAAGTAATTATATGGTAGTTATTAGGGATAACTTAACTCCGCTTATGGCTTTTCTATGGTTATAACTGATCTCAAGCCCTGGTAAGGGAAGAGGTTTGGACATGGAGTCAGAAATCCCATCCAATAATACACTCCGAGTCATATTCATCATTCATCATATACATTCACTTCACAAATGGACCATTGAATCAGTTTACTGTCAATTTATACCCATAAAAGTTTGTTGAAGCGTTTCATAATGGTTACTAGCGAAATCCTTTAAGTTGTATAGGATGAGTTTGTTGAAGTGATATCATGCAAAACAATGTACTAAATTATGATTAGAATAGTAACAATTCATAAAGCCAGTTTTAGGAAAGCTTTTGATGTAACTTTATGTAATAATGAATAAATTGACATAATCATCTAAATAATTCCCTACAAAATTTGTGTACGAATCTTTATTTGTACATAATGTATCCGATATGACAGGATGAAAAGGCAAAATCACATTCTTTTATACATTGTAACTTGTTGTTCAACATTACCTCCGTTTAAATTCACTGTGATAATTACTCAGTGTAGTATTTGTTCTATTTTCCCTTATGACATTCTATTCGTCATAACACTAATTTGTTTGAGTGTGATTGTTGTTCGTGAAATGAGATTCCTCGTATTAAATTAACCTAAATCATGCTCAGCATGACATGCAGCATGTGATTTGTCATAATTCTAGGTAGTTTTCATATATGTGACACAATGGGTGTACAATCAATGTGTTAATGAGTGTATTTCCGAATAGGATCGTTGTCGTGTTTTGGGTTTAATAAGTCTTCACTTTTACTGATGTTGAGGAGATCACCAAACTGCATCATATAGCAAGAGCTAAGTTAGATGCCTGAAGGGGAAAAGAAAGTGATAATTGGAAGGAAATATAAAAAAGATGAATAGGAACTGGAAAGGATTTTCCATGACAGAGTTGGATGGAGAATGCTGGTGAGTGGCATGTGCTCCTCCACACCTGCAAACAGAAGAAAGTAAGTGAATAAGTAATGAAGGATAGCTTTATTTAGTCAGACGTCAGTCAACAAGGTTTACAATGAAATAATTCAAATACAATTGTAAGGTTCGAAATTCGCTGTAAACAATTCATATCCAGTAATGTAATAGAAGTAAGTTTGGATCGAATGAAAAGTGTATCGAGAAATACTGAGTTAGCTCATAACAAACATCGATAGTTTGAAAACTGGTCAGTTTGACATCGAATTCGAAGAGAGAAGAAACCATTGCAAATTTTACGATAGATCAGATGAAAATAGAACAAATATTACATTGGATGGAGATAGCTATATCGCGCGTACTACCAGGCAACTTAACCAACGAATGAGTGAACATCTACATTTATTCTCTGAAGAAGTGACTTACACTAAGCCACGAAACGTCAGAAAATCTAATTTTCTACTCATTGGGATATTACAAATATATTATTTATTTATCTACCAACTTGGTTTATAAACGGCCAGATAAAAACAGCACGCTGTTCAATCCTGGCACATCTTATTGATAGTGGTCATGCGGTAGATAAATCGAAATCATTTCGAGTGATCTATCGTATACCTCTATCATTTCTCAATGGAGTTCATTCCCGTCTCCTACATATAGCTGAAGCCATAGGAATTCATACATATTTCATATTGCCATTCATCATGGTCTAGATAAATATTTATATTTCTGAAGTGAAAACTTCTGTAAAATCGAGAATACGTTTAAAAGATAGACCATTTGGAATTTTCGCGAATGTACGGTACTGTCTTGATTATGTCGATGGTCATACAATCTACTCGATGTTAGTAGTGGCAACAAAGCAGAACACACATTGATTACAAATGTTTCGTCCATAATGATTACTAGTCAAATTCTGAATACATTTTGATGAGAAGTGTAGAACAACTTTATGGTTTAAAATATGGTGAAGTGAGATTGAGATTCTCCACAACCACAGACTGATAAATATGCCATAGGTTCGTATCTTCCTACAGGAAATCAATACATGAATCTCCAACACTAGTTCATTGTTATTCAGTAATTGGAATTACGTTGGTTCAAAATGTTAATTCTGCTTTTCCAGTGAGTTTGAATTGTTTCTTCATCACATAAGATTAGTTTGATTTGGTTAACATTTGACTTATGAAGTGACTATCCATTACGAAGTCAAACATTCTCCCACTTTAAAACAGAAAACTCAGATCAGTATTTAATCTCCAATTCTCTACATGCAATATCAAGTATACTAGATAGAGAGAGAGAGAGACACACACACACAAATAAAACAAATTCAGAAGTAAAACTATTTGAGTTCCAGGTATCAGTGTCAATTTACAGATGAATTCGTTATTCATAGTTTCTAGTCCAAAAATGCATCTTCTTTTCAACAAGTTGAATGAATATCTTTCTCATCTGATCACTGTTATTGTTTCGATAGTAATGTTGTGTTTAGAAATGAAACTAATCATGATTATCTTTTCATTGTAATCAAACAATTATCTGTGATTCTATCTGTTTCCCATTGCAACCCTTCGTGTCCAGTAAGTTGTTGTTGATATGCACAATGGATAAATACACATGTTTGATGCTAATACACAATGAGAAGAGATGTTATTTGCAAGTAATATATGATGCATTGATTTAATTTATTTCTGATCATGGTTAGTTATACGAGATATAACCAAGCGAAAACAAATGCAGAAATGAAAAGTGGACATGAGATATATTGAGATCATTATCGATCGGAATAATGAAGCAAATGGAAATCAAGTAACAAAGGTACATACATATAGAATAATTCACTAAATAGAGATGCACCGATGTTATGACCTATATAGGTGATTTATTTAGCATTTCCATTAACTGGATACGTATGTGTATAAATTCGTGACTGGACTACATGAATTATTTGATGTTAATCAGGCAGGCTTATTGAATATTAATTTGTAAGTAATCATGATATTAGTGTTGAGTTGCTCTAAGAAATGGTGTATTGTACATGTGCTTTGAGTTCCTATTTACTTCATGTTATGAAAAGCAAACGATTGTCCTTTATCTAAGGAATCACATTTTAAAATCACTTGTGTACTACAGAGATTTAATTGAGTATATTCATGTTTATGACAAATTTGAATGTTAAGAAATTTTGATTTTCTACTTCTGGATTTTTTGCATCTAAATTAATGATCCATATAAGTGATATAAGTTCACTTTATTTCAATAGATTATGTACATTGTATTTCATACATTATTAATATTAGATGATGGTTGGAGGTGGTCGACAGGAAACCCTGGACCCGGGTTTCGTGCTACTTGGCACTCATCAGCAAGGTGTACCTGTAATCTTTGAGAGGACTGTTGCTCCCTGACTGATTCGATCTCGTGTCACCCAGCTTCACAGTTAGAGATATTACTACTGAACTATCCGGGCCGGGAGATACTCAACATATTTTGCTAAGAGGAAAATTACTAGTCTGATACTTTATGTTGATGGTTGTGTTCGCGATATTTTGTGATTGTGCTAATTTTCAGTTAACTGTACATGACGATAATTTAGAAGTGAACCAGATTTCACTAGACTCAGTTTGGTTCGTGTAATTATCGTTATCGACCTATACACTTCATCCTTCCTCATATATAATTATCGACATAAATCGCCTTAGTGAATAACGGAATTAAAATAAGTCAAATACGTGAATTAGGTTTTGGATACGTGTATTCTGTACTATTGTCGATCAGAAAAGACAATCAGAGAGACGTAGCGAATGAAGCGGAGAGCAGAGAGCGGAACAAAATGACGCCCCGTATAGAGGGCATGTAATGAGTAAAATTGGAAATGCACTGACATACGCTTACATAAAAACAGTCATGGTTGATAAGCGAATTATTAACAAAGTCAAAATTTCTACTCAAGATGAATGAATAAACTGGTCTGTCCGAAAGCTAAAATAAACTGTGTAGTTTTGACATATCAACCAACACTACAAATTCAATAACGAATACTAATGAGGGTTTAATTTAAGAATGAATTACAAGAATAAATGACATTGATTAACAGAATAACTTTAGGATGAATTTATATCTGAGAGAAGAAGATTGTTTCGGAGTGTAAATGAAGCAATCGAAGAAATGTGATGTTCCGTTGACTCAAAATAACATCATTATTTATAACAAACTGTATGTTATAATATGTTAATAGGAGTATCCGAATGTCCAGAAATTCATATGAATAATCTAATCTTAGATAGTGAAGAATACATCAGAAAGAGGCGGATAATTTCAAACAAATAATGGATGAGTAAATAAGGTTAATGATAGAATAATAATAATGATAATAATAATAATAAAGAAAAAAATAAGGAAAATAAAAATAAATAAATAAAATTAACCGTTAGTTAAGTTATAACTGGCCATGGAAGGGATAGGGGAGTTACAAATTTCTTCTGTACACATAAATTGGGGTTATATGTATGAATTCCTATGGCTTCAGCTATATGTAGGAGACGGGAATGAACTCCATTGAGAAATGATGCAGGTATACGATAGATCACTCGAAATGATTTCGATTTATCTACCGCATGACCACTATCAATAAGATGTGCCAGGATTGAACAGCGTGCTGTTTTTCTCTGGCCGTTTATAAACCAAGTTGGTAGATGTTCACTCATTCGTTGGTTAATTTGCCTGGTAGTACGCGCGATATAGCTATCTCCACAGGAGCAGCTGAATTTGTAGATGCACATTGAGGAGGCCAATTCAGGTAACTTATCCTTCGTTTGAGTAGACATCTCTGGTCGACAAGAGAAAGTGAACGCAAGATTGGCTGCGTAAAATGTTCTGTTGATTACTTTCGTTAACCTGTATTTCAGAGCCACATTCCCGTTGAATTGTAGTTTCATGTATAAAGGTTTCTTACGAACAGTCGAAATCTCCGACTTCTTTATTATATCATACATGTACTTCTTAACGTTATTTACACATGCATTATTTGTTTGGAATTATCCGCCTCTTTCCGTTTGTATTCTTCACAATCTAATCTTACTCAACTCATATATATTCGAAAATATTTTTATGATTATCTATGAATTCAAGCATCTTTATTTATATCTGATATTAATTATTCTTTGAATATTACTAGTAATCTTCTAATTTCATACACACATATTGTTCTGGTGATTGTAGATAGTGTTACAGAAATTTATGTAGGGATATTCTTAGAAAATCGATAGTTTTGTATAATATTCATTTATTGATTCCGATTACGGATTATTTCATTGTTGTAATCAACAAATAATCCAATATAAGATTTTTACTATTTAGTGAGTTTTTCATTTGTTTATACACTAATATTGAACTCTTTTGTTCTATTCTTAATATGAGTTAAGATTTTTTTCTGCCATATTTCAACTGAATTTAAATGTCATGTTACTATTACTAATGATGGTAAATCATTTGATGAGGTTATGAATCTTCATCGACTGATATATATATATATCAAATTATGGATCTATAGAATGATTAAAGTTAATTAAGTGTTCAAGTATAAAACTCCTATTACTGCTTTCCTCTCACCCTTATACAATCAAACTGGAACATGTTCCCCATTATCCTAATTGAAAGTGAAATTATCTATCAATGAAATAATTTTCCTACAAATTTGAAATAATTTGTCTAAAAATTGAATTTTGATCAAAATTTTATTCTTTCTATTCAAATATCTTTATAGAATTCATTTTTAGATATGATTTAAATGAGAATAAATGATCAATTATACCATGTTTTAGTTCTATTTTATTCTTAGTTTAAAATATTGTTTAATTATAGATTCAACTTTTACGCTTTATGTAAATAATAACAAAAATAAAGATTATTTTCAACAGTTTCTTCTTTTTTTTTTCTTTTTTTTCATGCCTATAGTTCCCTTCTATTATTTTAAAGAGAGCAAGAACAAAGATCGGTGTAGAATAATAAATGGATTCATTTTATTTTGTTAGGTTCTCATTAGCTGCTTACAACCTTTTTTTTTTATAAAAAATTCAACGTTATTACAAATATTGACATACTCTTATACATCAGAGCGTGATGAAGGATGAATATATGTGTGTATCATGATGTAGTGAAGATTCCGTTAGAGTTAATGAGGTCATAAAATTTTTGTTTAGAATATATATATATATATATATATATATATATATATAAGAGAGAGAGAGAGAGAGAGAGAGAGAGAGTTTGGGAGGGAAGGTTCCATAACATAGAAATAGTGAATAAAACTAATGGAGTTTAACAAACATTAGATGATTATGTAATGAAGTAACTGAAAAATAGATTAATGGTAATAAAGAGAGATATGAGTTGAATGATGTAATTATAATGTTCAGAAAGAGTTGGAATGACGTAATAAATGAAAAGGAGGAGGAGGTAATGTTACCAGGGCAAAGAAAGATTTATTAATGTTTCTTTTTGTATACAAAGATCTGGTTTTAAATGTTTGATTGCTATTGCTTCAGCAAATTTCAAAAGGTTTCATTTTTCTTCACAGTATTTGCATACAAACAAAGTAGATAGTTCAAAAATGAATAAATTTCATATAAACATAGAAGACTTTTTCTGTTACTATGCAATCATTTATTAGTTAAGATAAAGGAAATGTTAGTCGAAGAGTAATCTCAGAATGACCAAAATAAAATTATCATTATTTATTTATTTATCTATTTGAACACATAAATATTGGTACAAGGGGGCACTAGATATATATGCGCTACATAAAACAATGACAATGGGAAGAGAAAAAGAATGTAAAGTGCATATGAAAGAGAAGAGATAAAAAAAGAACAATAACGACCTTGGATTAGTGTATGGTAATGTAATATTAATAATGATAATGGTGGTGATGGGAACAAAAAGGTACAACTAGAAGAATTCTTGCAGTTAAGGAAGTTACAACTACTTTTTATGAAGAAAGTAAAAAAAAGGTTACATCAGGATCTATCAATGCTGAGGAATCCCACGATAGGACAAAACGGCCGTTCAGTGCTTCCAGGTTTTCCATGGTTGTCTAGCTTCAATTGACTCATGATCTCTACTATTGAAGTTAACTTATATCTAACAACTTTCAATTTTTATGACTTTTTAATCAATCAATTAGTAAAGAGTAATTTAAGATAATATTTACTGTATGAAATCCGGACATTACATAATGTTGAATAAAACTCTCACTTTGTTCACTCAAAGCAATTTGAACATATTTCACAATAATTACTTTTTTCATAATTGTTCTTAGTCATTTTGATCTTATCAGAAGTGAATTTCTATAACTTAGAAAAGTAAGCGTAACTATTCTATATTAGTGAACTTACTTACTTACTTACTTACTTACTTACTTACTTACTTACTTACTTACTTACCTACTTACTTAAGCCTGTTACTCCCAATGAAGCATAGGCCGCCGACCAGCACTCTCCAACCCACTCTGTCCTGGGCCTTCTTTTCTAGTTCCATACAATTCTTGTTCATTTATCTCATGCCTATCTCCATTTCTCGGCGTAATGTGTTCTTTAGTCTTCCTCTCCTTCTTTCACTTTCAAATTTCCATGTGGGTGCTAGCTTTGTGATGCAGTTGGGTGCTTTCCTCAATGTGTTTTCTCTCCTCTTCCAGCGCTTCTTCTTGATTTATTCCTCAACTGGAATCTGGTTTGTTCTCTCCTACAGTAGGTTGTTGCTAATAGTGTCTGGTCAACGGATACGAAGTATTTTGCGTGGACAGTTGTTAATAAACACTTCTATCTTCTGGATGATGGTTTTCGTAGTTCTCCAAGTTTCCGCACCATACAGTAAATCTATCTTGACATTTGTATTGAAAATTGTGAACGTGGTGTTGGTTGACAGACAGTTGTTTTGAGTTCCAGATATTCTTCAATTGTAGATATGCTGCTCATGCTTTGCCGATCTGTGTCTTCACATCTGCATCACATCCACCGTGTTCATCAATGATGCTTCCCAAATATGCAAAGGTTTTACATCTTCCAAATCTTCTCCGTCAATTGTGATTGCATTGTTGCATGCTGTGTTGTATCGGAGAATCTTGATTTTCCTTTTGTGTATATTGAGACCTACTGCCGCTGAGGCTGCTGTTACACTGGTCGTCTTCTCCTGCATTTGTTGTTGCGTTTGCGATAGAAGAGCCAGATCATCTGTGAAGTCTAGATCGTCCAATTGCATCCTAGTTGTCCACTGTATCCCGTGCTTCCCTTCAGATGTTGACATCTTCATGATCAATTCGATCACCAGGAGAAAGAGAAAGGGTGAGAGTAACTAACCTTTCCTGACACCGGTCTTTACTTCGAACGACTTTGTCAACTGTCCTCCATGAGCGATTTTGCAGTTTAATCCATCATAGGAATTCTGTATCATGTTAACTATCTTCTGAGACACGCCGTAGTGTCGAAGAAGTTTCCATAGTGTTGTTCATCTACTCACTAGTGATTGAATTCAAGAGATACTCCTGAAGTTCTAGTGAGAAGCCGTTACCAGTGGAGTTCAATCAGGTCTATTTTGAGATATCAACTCACTGAAGACAATGTTGTACGAAAGCGCAATGTCGTGGATTGGTTGAAGTTAGATATTAACACCGCTGGATGCCGGCCAGCTCAGTGGTCTAGTTGATTAAGCGCCTGGCGCGAGACTGATAGGTCCTGGGTTCAAATCTCGCGGGTAGCGGGATCGTGGATGCGCACTGCTGAAGAGTCCCATACTAGGACGAAACGGCCATTGAGTGCTTCCAGGTTTTCCATGGTGATCTAGCTTCAATTGACTCATGATTTCAACCAGTGGAGTTTAATTTTTTTTAATCTAAAATTGTTTACTATCTCAGTATCTGTTATAATATTAATATATGGGTGTTCAGCTTTCTTATATTGTTCAAAACATTCAAATCTATTCACAATAATCTACCTTCTTATAAATATCGGCTTGAATAAAAAAGCTATCATTTATAAAACAAACTATTTTCGAACAAATTATTTGTTCACCTTAATGAGATCAAGTCATGCATAGCATCTTGAAAGTTTAAATTTCAATTACAAACAGTATTATTAGTTGTACATACTTGGTCTTATTAATTGGCTAGTTCAACTGATATATTATATGATCTATTGAGACATAGAATAATAATAATAATAATAATAATAATAATAATAAAAGGTAAATTTAAAATAAACTACTTTGTTGCTTATTTACCGCCATTAAAACTGAACAACTACTATCTATTACAAGTGTTAATCAATTATAATATTCAAGAATAGAGGGCGTTAACTATATTTCGTCAAAGCTTAAGAAGTATGTTTATTATATTGATGAGTTAATTGTCAATTAACATACTTTTTTTTTTTGTAAATAGAAAACTAGCTTGAATTATTCCGTACTGTCGTGTTAATATGATGTGTCAATTCTGTTCGACACACATTTTTTTTAAGCTCTTTGTTGTTTTTGACCTATTGGACTAGATTATTTTTATATTCGAATTGCATTACTTTAATTTATATGCTTACTAGTGAGTAACAAATAGAATCTTTCTATTGCTTGACTGAAAACCTGTTAATTATCATAAACAATTGTAGTATATTGTAGATCACTAACGTAGATGATCTATATCAAGTGATCGGAGGCCTACTCGAGTTAGACGGGAATGGTGTGACGAACCAACTAACGTCGAAGTCACACATCGTGGTCAGCACCTTACGTGGATTACCCAATTAACGCATCAAGGTACTATAGATGCTTTGAAGACTGTACAACACAGAGGACGTTATTACATAAATATATTAGTTAAAGTAGATACAAGCGAAGGTAACATCACTACCGCATGGGCCAGTCCATGACGTACGATTAACTGATGCGCGTTAGTCATACTTGACCTTGACAAGGATCGATGATTTGCTTGATATCCAATGACTTAAATGCCGGATGACTTGGCTAGGGCTCAGTGAAATTTC